AATGTTATCTTCATTGAAAAAAACAGTGCTTTTCTTTCAAAAATAAGGACATTTCTAAGTGACCCCAAACTTTTAAACGGTAGTGTATATATACATAATGTATGTATAAAAACACACATTCCTTTTTTTTTTTACACATTTTAGTAAGTAGTCTTAAAACTTGAAACCTCAATCAAACAAAATTGTGTTTTTACTGTGTGTAATGCTGCTGCTACACTGCAATTTCCCAGCTTGGGATCAATAAAGTCTATCTATCTATCTATCTATCTATCTATCTATCTATCTATCTTAAGATACACATTAGTATTAATATACACATTAAGAAAACTGGAAAACTTCAATGTGAGCGCAGCAGTATCTACTAATGCAATGTTGTGTAATAACAGAACAGGGTCATTTGAGGACACAAACCAGCCATTTGACATGTGTAATCATAGCAATATTGATTCTATTATGTGGCAGTATCAGTATTCACTGAAATGTACAATAAGAGTCTAAACAAGATTTTTTTCGACCAAAGGTCATCCCAAAAGACTACAAGAGCATGGCCGCCCTGGCCAAAGCCATGGAGAAAAACGTGCTGTTTGCCCACCTGGATGACAATGAGAGGAGGTAATGGCACCAATCAGTTCACTAGTTCAACCATCCTTTCCAAAGCATGTCCAGCTAATCACCTCATTTTCTACCCCTCCAGTGACATTTTTGACGCAATGTTTTCTGTCAACTACATTGCTGGAGAAACAGTCATCCAACAAGGTGAGTTAAAACCCCATTTTAGATGAAGTTTTTATGTGTTTTTTTTCCATTCATTCATTTGTTCATTCACGGGACTCCTGTTCCTCCTGTTACAGGTGACGAGGGAGACAACTTCTATGTTATCGACCAGGGAGAGATGGATGTAAGCTCTCTTTTTTTTGTTTTTGTGCAGTTTTACACTCCAGAAAACATCCGCCAGTGTTACTGAAAATTTGAAAAGTGTTCTTTCACATACTTCATTTGCTAGATGTGCTGTAGTGGTTCAGTGAGGGAAACATTAAAGGAGAACTAAAACCAACAATGAATTCATTTTACTAAGAACGAACAGCCAGATACAGCACATTGCTCTGTGGAGCCCAAAAATAGTGGTGAACCATTGACTGTTGTGGACTGTGTCTGTCAAGTAAAGCCAACACAGAAGTGTCTTAAACCTGCATTCTTTCTAATGACCAGCAGGGGGCAGCTCCATTGGCTGCAAAAGAAGTATGATAGTATTGAGCCTTGTGAAGAAATAATCCTACATTTGACATGATTCATTATCTCAGTAAACAGT